CCCAGCTCCCATCCTACCTTCGGGGTATTAAGATATAAAGGATCTACTGGGATTGGTGTTTCTTCTCACCTATAGACCCTCCATCCTCCAGCTCTTCCCACAAATAGGTCAGGTCTAATTGTTAAAGTAACACTTTGTCCCATAAGACTCATTGTTTCTCAGTCACACACACACACACACACACACACACACACACACCCCTCTTCTCATACTCACAGAGCTGCCCCCATAATTTCTCTCCCGGACATGAGTTTTGGCCCCACAACCAGAACCTGCTACATGAAGTGAAAGGCTGAGCACAAAATGAAACTGTGGGGCCTTTGTCAAGAATTATTCAGAATTTCAGTTTGGTGCCAGGATAGCATGCAACCAACCAGGCAGAGGGCCATCACGATGAGCATACATGTCACATTCTCATTACACCCTCCTTCCAGGGGTCTCCCCATGGCCCAGGAGGATGGAACAGAGCCAGGTGCATGTAGAGATCAGCTAGGGTGGGGCTGCACTGGTGGGAGAGGGGAACAAACACACAGTGGGAAATGGGATATTAGGGCCTACTGTCCCCTCACCATTTGCTCTCACTCACCATGTAGTAGCTCATGGTTGCTCAGGGTTCAGAGGGCTGTGGCCTGATCGTGAGGAACAGGTATGAGAAGTGTTTCAGAGGAGCAGCCTCTTCTACAGAATCCCTTTGGCTGCAGCTCCTTTTGGGGCCCCCACTGAGCCAATCACCTTCTCTCCCACATCCTCCCAGCACAGAGCTAGCTGAGGTTTCTGAGGTTTCTGCCCCAAAGGAGGTCAGCTGATTTCAGAGCAGCAGAGGAGGGCCTGGGAGGTGGGAGAGGTGGGGGAGGGTGACCTGCCCTAGAGAATGAAGTAGGGCTGACTGATAGTGTGGGGTTGAGGGAGGGAATGAGACAAAAGCAGAAAGAGAAGGAGGAAAGACAGGAAGAGGGAGGTCTAAGGGCGCTGGGAGGGGAGGGCACATCCTTAAACTCTGACCATGGCTCCTCCACTCTCTGAACCAGGGAATCTCTGAGACCAGGAATGGGTCTCGCCCTCATCCCCTCATCAGCCTGAGACAGAGAAGGGGCAGAGGGAAAGTACAGATTTCAAAAGCAGGTTGGAGCATTTCTCAGAGCTTCCAGAATCAAGAGCTTCCCGCTGGGGAGTCAAGGTGCAGGGGAATGTCTGGAATGTCCACCAGGTCCCTCGCACAGAGTGCATCCCAGCTTCAGAGTCCAGAGGTTCGATAGCAGCCCACCAGAATTTATGCTGCAGCGTGAGCTATGAATAGAAAGTTTGTGCATGGTTATGAATATGGATAAAATACATCACTCATGGCCAGGGCATGACAAGCAAAATTGAAAACATATTTTGGATCACACGATATTTTCACAAATATATTAAAAAGAAAATAAACACAGATTGTGTGTGTTCATTTACTGCTTGAAGGACCTTTGGGGAAAAGAGACATCAACAACTTTTCTTTCCAAACCATTTGCTTTTCCTTGTGCGTTTTAGCACAGAGCTGGACCCTCTGGGAAGGAATGGGGTCTCGCAGAGTGCACGGTAAGTAGTTTTACTGGCAGGCGTATATCCCCTTCCTGGAGAAGACAAGGATCTGAGTCTTTGACCGTGTCCAGGAAGAACTCTGTGGCTTGGGGAGATGTGCTAGGCTCATTGCTGTTAGTATTTGTTTATGCCTCTTTAGTCTTGGAAAGATTCTGGTGGCTTATGTGTTTTATGCTTGCATTCCATTCCTTGCTTTATTATCCATGAACATTAAGGCTATATCTGTGTTGTTAAGCATCCAGATAAAAATGGAAAATTTTCCATTTCATGTCACGCACAGAGGTCTGGCTTCTGGCAAAATTCAGAAAGAGGAAAAGGTGGTTTTTATATCCACCCCACTCTGACAGCCACTCTCCATGATAGCAAGCCTCTTCTCTGCCTACAGGTGGCTCAGCCTCCTGAGTTATTCTATGCCCAAAGAATCACTCATTTACTTACCATCCAAGCATGCCCCCCTAAACTAAGTAGCTTACTTAATTTCTGCTCCTCTCTTTTATTCTCCTTCCCTCCAATTAATTTTTCCTGCTCTTTCCCATCACCTTGAGATCCTGCACTGTAGGATGGCTAACTAATCTGGTAATTCAGTGGATTATTCTGTGGTTGATTCCAGGTGGCATATTCCCACTTAATATGGATATTTAAATTTTAAAAAGTATATTTTTATTGATTCCACAGAGAGAGGGAGCGGGAGAGATAGAAACATCAGTGATGAGAGAGAATCACTGATCGGCTGCCTCCTGCATGTCCCCTACCTGGATCAAGCCCGCAACCCCAGCATGTGTCCTTGACTTGAATCAAACCCAGGACTCTTCAGTCCGCAGGCTGATGCTCTATCCACTGAGCCAAACCAACTTGATAAGCTTTGAAAATATAATTTTTCCCCTCCTTGTACTTTAACAGGATCCTGACAGAGCCTGAGATGGTTTTTCTGATGGCTTAGAGTTCTCAGGTCATGGACAAGTCAAAGATGTGCCTGGCGGTTGTCTTCACACTGGTCTGCTTGCCTTGAACAACAGCAGGCAGTGTCTGTGCTCCCTGGGACTGCAGCCCACAGCCTCACTCTAGGTAGCAGTGCGGAGCATGAGGTTGGATAGCAACCCAAGAAAAGGCCACTAAGTGACTCCAACCATGGGGTGACCCCTATCAACAGGGCGGAGCAAGCAGCTATGGCTGATCCTCAGCCCTGCCCTAAGGGGCACTGCGTCTCAGTGTCCTGGTAATCGCTGCAAGTACCTTTGAGAGTAAGCAGCCCTCGAGTTCTGAGTTCTGCCTGCTGCCAGACAGTCCAGTTTCTCCCCATATGAGTCTAGTCCCCAGAGACTCACCCAGAACTGGAGTTCAGAGCAGTCGGGGGCTTGTGACTCCCTCCCGATTCAAACAGACAGCCGTGTCCTCAGTTGCCCGCACTTGAGTTCCGAGTTCTGCCTGCTGCCAGACAGTCCAGATTCTCCCCATATGAGTCTGGGTTCCCAGAGACTCACCCGGAACTAGAGTTCAGAGCAGTCGGGGGCTTGTGACTCCCTTCCGATTGAAAAAGACAGCCACGTCCTCAGTTGCCAGCCCTCTCCGCATGCGCCTCTGTACCTCTGCACTTTACTTCCGCACCTCCTCTGAGTCTCAGTGTGCTTTTCTCTTTCCTTCTAGTTGTAGAATGTCCACTCATCTAGCCTTCCTGTGGTTCTGGATGATGTCCGTTTTGTCTTTTAGTTGTATTTTTGAATTTGTTGTGGGGGGCAGCAATTTCTGGTGTTTACCTATGCCGCCATCTTGGTTTCTCCACTATTTCCTTTAAATAATGAAATCATCTAGAGCTTGGCTACTGGACTGAAATAGCTTGAAAGAGGCAAGACTGGGAGGTGAGCCAAGATGTAACCTCAAAGGATTGATAAGCCAAGAAGCTCCTGGTGGCTTTAGCGCAGGAGGACAGTGTTTTCTGTGAGAAGAATTAAGTGGGAGGGCATGAAAATGGTCAATGGAGGTTTGATATAGAGTCATTTGGGAAATTCATGGACAGGGTTTGAAAGAATAAGAATGTTGACTGATGTCTGGCCAGTGTGGCTCAGAAGTTGACTCATGAACCAAGAGGTCACCAGTTCAATTCCCAGTCAAGGCACATGCCCAGGTTGCAGGCTCCATCCCCAGTAGGAGGCGTGCAGGAGGCAACTGGTCAATGTTTCCTTCTCATTGATGTTTCTATCTCTCCCTCTCTCTCTAAGGAATCCATAAATGTCTAAAAGAGCCCAGCTGGCGTGGCGTGGCTCAGTGGTTGAGAATCGACCTATGAACCAGGAGGTCACGGTTCGATTCCCGGCACAGGC